TGCTATTGTGTTTTAGTGCCATATTTCAGGGCAATATGTTTGCAGTTAAACATCTTTCTCTTTCAGTGTTAGCCGTCATGCTTTGTCTTCCACTGTTCTTGAGGTTCGCCATGTGTAAAGAATAAGAAATGGCATCATCAAACAAAGGTGTCAGTCCTACTAAAACTTACCTTTAATGCCAGTGGATGCTAATCTAGGTTGGGAGATAGCCACAGTAGAAATGGGCTTGGGCCAAACATTGAGTATCTGGATTTTGGATCTGAACTTTCCGTAAGTTCGTTGTTTTCAAGTTCCAGGCACCCATCTCTACCATAAAATATGGACAAAAGGCGACACCGATTGGATAGGTCACAGACATGGGAGTGGGATAGTCAGTGAATCTGAGCACTGGTTCTAACCTAGTCCAGAAGTCGGTTTGCTTCAGACTGTCCCATGCCTTGGCAAAGCAAGCAGGCGATTTCAGGCCAGTCGTTACGGTAAAGGTGTCTGAAAAAGCACCATCCCTAACTGTGCCCCGTATTGGCAGCCTCACCGGAGAGCCCAACAGCTGAATGGGCAGGAGGCTGAAGTCCTGGCATCTGTAGCAGAGTCCCCACCAGGGCAAGGGTGAGCCTGGTTTGTGAGGTTGTGAGGGCAGATCTCTAATGCCCCTGCAGCACTTGTGCGCATACCTCAGGGATGTCCTTTTGGAGTCTCTTGCAATGGAAGGGAAAAACAACCAAATGAAACATCAGAGATGAAGCTGTTATCTGGTTCCTTGTTTGTGGCCCTGCTTTTTATGGGGGGGTGGAGGGGGGTGGAGCAGTGGGGGAGGGGAAGGTGTTTAGAGGAAGTCTGTATGAGTAGTGATATAACTGATTTTGCATCCAAAAACAGAGTATCGGATTCTTCCATCAGAGAAGGGCCTTACCCCTCACGTGAACTCAGACTGTTGTCACTGAGCTGGGCTGTGTATGGCTGGGACTGTGTCTAGCAGTTGTTTCTGGGGGGACAAGGGGCAAGGTGCTGTGCGGAAACATTTTACTGACATGTTTCTCTTTCTGCTGGTTTGACAGCCCCACCCACGGTGCGGATCGTGCACTCAGGCCTGGCGTGTAACATTGAGGAGGAGCGCTACTCGGAAAGGGTATACACCATCCGCGAGGGAGAGACTCTGGAGCTCACCTGCTTGGTGACGGGCCATCCTCGGCCACAGGTGAGTCCCAAACTGCGACCCAGCCTCTTCCAGTAGCCAGATTGCTATAACTCTCCTGTCGTTCGCCCTTGTAGCCATTTCAGGTCATCTTGTTTGCAGAGGTATTGGTGAGACTTGCTCTTATAAGTGCTGGACTCTCTTGAGTGCAATGAAGCTCGTTTAGCCCAATTAGTGTCACAGTGTGACCAGGCCCTGAGCATGGGATTGCTCTAGCTCATGGTTTCCAAACCTGGCGTTGCAGGCAAGTTTCAAGGGATTGCAACCACCCTCCTTTTTTTTTTTTTGGCTAGAAGGGATGGGATCCTGAAACTTATGGCAGTGGGTTCCTGAAACTCTGTTTGTTGTAACTTCAGGTCATGCTATGGAAGAGTTTGAGAACCACTTGTCTTAATGAACCTCACATTAAATGTCGCTCAGTTTGCTAGTGACTCAAAACACGTACAGTGCCAGGAAAATAATAAACATATGAAATAAAACACCAGGATAAGCAATTGAAGCAGATGCATACATAAGCCCAAGGGACATCTAGATTTCTTTCTGGAGCAGGAAGGTTGACCAGAACAAGGAAGCTGCAGAGATGTATACAAATGAAACATAATTTAAAAAAAAATCAAATCAACCTTTTCAGATCTTCAGGTTTCATGTTTTTCATGGACACATTTTAAGCAAAGGTTCTGGTTAGTTCGTGTTCTGTCCAGGCTGATTCATCTGCCCCTACTCTGCACACCATTAGTTAATTTAATGAAACCAAGGTCTTTCAAACTCTAGACCTTGGAGAAAGTGTGGTTTATTCCTTTTCATTTTCCTTCCTTTAGCTTCTCAGACCTGCTTTTTTGTGTGTGTTTCCATCCATTTCTTCATTCCCCTGCTTTCTGAACCCATCTCTTCTTTGCTTGTTCTGACGGTCTTTCCCTTCTGCTGCATCCACTTCCTCCTTTCTGTCTGTGGACAAGGGAGTTGTATTGGGAATTTGGAGATATGTGGGGGGTGAGGAATGAGGGTAGTCGACACAGTTTTCAAAAGACAGACCTTGAAGGGGTTCACAATAGGGATAGGCTAATTCTTGGTCCCGATCTCAGGACGAAAGACATAAAAAGCTAATCAGGCTGTCCAACTAAGACCACAGTTGGAATGTGTCTGACAGCTCCTTTCCTAGCCAAGCTCACCCATTCAGATATATTTTGTAGCTACCATTAGCAACCTAATAAGATTAATCAAATAATATATTGTTTCAATAAAGTATCGGGGAACAAAATTCTATGGTGTGAATTCTTTCTATAGCATTTTGAACACTAAAATATAGACTTGCAGAGAGCTCTTTACAGTCATGATGAATTAAACTTATCTCTCTTTCATGAGGCTCAGTTGTGCCGTCACGCATGGAACTTGTATTGCAATAAGTGGGAGTTTTGTGATGTGTGGTTAGCTGAGCCGGGAATTGGGACAGTGAATTCACAGGAGATCTTCAATCTAAAACCCGGTGCTCTTCTCCCGGGAAATATTTTTGAAATATAGATGTTTAGAGGTTCATTCTATAATTGTTTGCATTCTAGGGTGGGGTTCAAAATTGCTCAGTATTAGCCTAAAATGGCCCCCGTTGAAGAGTTATGTCAGCACGATGCAACTTTGAGAATTCCCCTCATGCAGTCAATAATCACAGTCAAGTAAGGGCAAATTCTGTTTGTTGCGATCAACAAATGAATACAGATGACAAATAGAAGACACTTTTCTTCTAAATTTGGTGAATCTCAGTACAGCATGTGCGAGGCGAGGGGAAAGAAGCCATGCATAGATTCACTGCTGAAAATTCTTTCCAAATGAAAAAAATAAAGAGGGTTGTAAGTCAATTCCTTTTTATGTTATGTTTTGGGGTTTTTTTGTTCAGTGTTTGCAATACCTCTTAAAAGTAGGAAGTAACATTTATTTCCTTGCTGACTTTATCCTCTTTGGCAAATAGTGATTTCTCTCGCTCCACCTTTTTTTTTTCTCTCAGTTGTCGCAGTCCTCTAACATTAGTGGCGCGATTAAATGTCAGTGAAGCTGTAGGGAAGGGCTTCTGCGACTTTCTGATGCTGTTGTGCTGGCTGATTGGTTCCCCATTAGCTGAATTTAATTCCCTGAATAAATATTAACTCTGCTTTACAGATACCGGTACATATTTTTATATATCCCACATTCTAAAATACAGTGTAAGAGAGGAAAACGACTAGAGACCCATATTCAGATACTTTTACTCATGGTGAGAAGCCCTTTACTCCTCCAGGATGGCTACTGACTTCATTGGAGTTACTTATGGAGTCTGATACTGTTCCGTGTAAGAGTGACAGAATCTCATCCATCTCGGATAACTTCAATTATCCAACCACCTGTCATCTGAAACAGCTTCATATCCCTCAGTGCCTGTTAATTACACTGAATATTCCCTCAATTATCAGAACCTTTATCATCCAACCTTTCAGAGTCTCTGTAGCATTCAAATAATCAAGCTCGTACTGTATGCACTTATGTGTTGACTTCTGCCTAGCATCTGTTTGAAGGAAAATACAGTGTATCACCTGGCAAGAATACAAGATTAGAATAAGTATGTGTGTCTGTGTGTGTATGTACACACACAGACACACACACACACCACACATTTAGGTTTCTATTTCAAATTATCCTGTAGTTTACAAAACATTGGGGAAATGGGCAAGTTTGTTACCTCCTGCGTAGCCTGTGGGAACAGCATGAAGGCTCCAGTTCTGCTCCCATTGAAGTGAATGGTAAAACTCCTGTTGACTTCAGTGGTGCAAAATCGGACCCTGAGGGCAGGTCTCCACTACAGCCAGGATCAACGCTCTGAGATCGATCCACTGGCGGCCGATTTAGCGGATCTAGTGAAAACCCGCCAAATCGATAGCACATCGCTCTCCAGTCGACCCCTATACTATACCCCCGATGAGAAGAGTAAGGTAAGTCAACAGGAGAGTATCTCTTCTGGCCCCCCCACGGTGTAGACCCCGCAGTAACTCCACCTATGGTACGTCGACTCCAGCTATGTTATTCACGTATCTGGAGTTGCATAGCGTAGGTCGACTTACCGCGGTAGTGTAGACATAGCCTAAATCCCAAGCTCATAAAACGAGATGTTCCCTGCACTCTCTCTGCAAAGACAGCCTTTTTGCAAGGCGTTATTTCTTATTAACCAAGGCCTCTTCTTCAATGCAGTTCCAGTATTATTCCCACACACCAGGCCAGAATAAATCATATTGATGAGGTTGAAGAGAGGCTAGAAATATCGCCCCTCGGAACAGTGGATTTGTAAGCAGCCAGCTATTCCGGTTCCAGCGTATGTTCTCACCACAGTGTAACGGTTTCAAATCGGAGGTCCAACATCAGGTCACTTTTCAGCTGTGTCCCTATAAAACAGAAGATTCCATTTCGAAGCTGCCTTCCGAGGACACGCTGACTGATCAGTTTCCAGTATTTTCCCCGTGGCTCCAGGCCGAAGTCATAACAGAGGAATTTCTCTCCAATCCAATAGCCTGGAGGAAAAGTTCTGTACTTATTTTTATCATCATTTCTTGTATTTCTTTTCCCACAAACAGGCAGCTTCTCCTGCTGGCATGTTTGCTGACCTGATTGCAACTTTCCAGTCTTTCTGCCGCCACGAAGAGACGGGCCGTTGCCTTCTCTGCTGTCTGGGAGGACCTTCCCCCCTTTGCGGGGAGGGGAGGGCAGGGCACTTAGCGGGAAATCCTTGGCCTTGTGAATGGTTGCAAAGGTTGAACATCTTAGCACGCTCAGCGAAGGAGTATTGTAATTGGAGCATGGTGCAGTGCTTGGGGCAGAATGCTTTGCACCAGTGCTAGGACGGACAGACCTACCAGTGGCTGAACTGCCCCCTGCTTGTTGGGCAACACGGGGTCCAGCAAGACAGTTTCAGCACCTGACACCGAGCGGCCTCCAGTTTGCTACCAACAGCCTGCCTACGTTGAGGGCTGACCCTCTGTTTTGCTACCAAAGAGCAGAGCATGTTTTGGATGGGCACTACAGAAGTACAGAGAGACTAAGGGTATGTCTACACTATAGTGTAGTAGCAGCAAGTCTCAGGGCTGGGATCAACTGACTTGGGCTTGTGGGGCTCACGCTCTAGGGCTCACAATAGCAGCCTAGGCAATTCAGGCTGGAGCCTGGCCTCAGAGACCCACCCCCTTCACCGGGTGTCTGAGCCCCAACTTGCACGCTACTATCTTTAGCCACGCAGCGAGAGCCTAAGTCAGATGACCCGGGCTCTGAGATGCACTGCCACGTTGTTGGTAGCAGAGACATACCCTAAGGGACTTGCCCAGGGTCACACAGGAAGCCTGTGGCGGAGCGGGGAACTGAACCAGGATCTCCTAAATCTTAGTCTAATGGATAAAGCCACAAAGCCATCAGCAAGTTCAGCGAGAGGGAGGAAAATTCCTTCTACGGGTCCCACACAGCCAGTGCTGCACGGATTCCCCTTCGTCCTGGGCTTTAGCACCAGTAGCGTTTTTCTCTGCTTCTGCATGGTCCTGGGGCCACTTAGACTCACTCTCCATTTGCTCTCTCTGCTGGATTGACAGCTCGCCAACTGGATCCCCGGCCAATCAGAAGATGCGTGAGGAGGAACTTTTTGTGACTGTGCTTTTGTGTGGGCTGGGACAGCATGATCACCTGTGACGCTGCAGATCCTTTCCAGACCTGCATGTCTTGAGGTTCAAAGCATCCTAAAAAAAGGCTGCCTTCAGACTGGCTATACAAGGTACTTTCTTAAGCAGTCACGAAGCTGCTGCTGCTGTATCAAAAATCGGTTCAACCAAAATGTTTGATCAAGACCGCATCCACGCTGCTGCTTTCTCATAAAATCTCTATTTTCTTATCTTGGATCCAGGATGGAAAATTGATTTCAGTTCATTTTACCTGTTTATGGATTTTTCTCACTCGTCTAGCACCTCGATCGTCTGTCTTTCTCTCTCTCATATGTTACAGCTCAC